AACCGATGTGGATCGTGCGTGCGTTAAGTTGAGTGAGGTGCCCCCATTGTGGTGCCTTCACATGGTGGATGAAGTTTGCGTTGCGGTGTCCAGGCCCGTTGTTGAAGTACGGCGACCCCGGCGGTTACACTTGCCACTCACTCTACATTCTAGATATCAACAGACCAAAGTAGTTACAACAGACTATAGTGCTCATTAGGATAGCATAGTTAACACTACATCAATCACTTCAGAATTAACTCGGTTACTCCACAACACCTTCCTCAAACAGGTTATGAGCCCAAACAACTCACGTTCGCTACTGGTTCTCTCGGATTCGAACTGGAACCTATGGAGAACCGCATTCCGTGGTCGCCTCTTGGCAAAGGGGCTCATGCACGTCATGCGCGTGCACTCGGCGTTGCTGACGGACGCGGAGAACCGAGCCCGATCAAGCAGAGCAAGCGAACCATCCGAACCAATCGAGAAGTCCATCTCGGTGTGGCACGAGGACAATCAAAAGGGACTGGGGCTGCTGATCGAGATGATCGACCCATCCCAGTACCACCTGGTAGAACTGGCTACCACATGCTACGACGCGTACCACATGCTGGAACGGCGTCACGAGCCAAGCACCAAAGTGGACCGGATCGCCCTAATGACCGAGTACCACGCCATCAACTGGAACCCCAAGCAGGAGACGCTACTGGTGTTCCTTGAGCGTTTCGAAGTCCTCATCCGCAAGCTGCAAAGCGCCGACTGTATGGAGCCAGAGCACATGACCGTAGTGAAGCTGCTAGCACTCATGCCGTGGTGCCTACGAAGCGTGACGCACCAGGTCAACGCCATGAGCGAAAGTCATCAGACCATCCATGCGGTGAAGACGCTGCTGGAAGCTGAATACCGCGCAGCCTTGGCGAGCAAAGAGATCCAGTCACCTAGCCAGGCTAGCTCGGACGAACGAGCGCTAGGCGCTCAAACAAATCGCAACAACCCCAAAGGGAAGAAGACTGGAGCTTGCCACCATTGCGGCAAGAAGGGACACTGGCAGCGCGACTGTCGCTCAAAGCACCGCGGCGACCCGCCAGTGAATGACCAAAACACGCCCCGCTCAACCGACGAGAGAGCCAACGCCGCACTGGAAGATGTCTACCTATTCACGGTGTCAGTAGAAGACGACACCACAGCCATGGATGCGACCATCATGGCAGCGTTCAACGACGACCCGTCGTGCGGGATGGCGGCCACGGTGGTTTCCAAGCATGTCGTGGTGGACTCGGGTGCGTCGATGCACATGACCAACTCCACCGACAACCTGACCAACATCCAAGTATGCGACCGTCGCGTCGTAATGGCCAATGGCAGCATGTCACACGCCACTAAGTCGGGAGATCTGGCTCTCCAGACCAGCTGTGGAACCCAACTCGTCCTCAAAGAAGTCCTGGTGGTAAACAGCATGCCCATGACACTGATGTCGGTCCCCGCACTGCTGAAGTCTAATGAAGACTGTGAGGTGACGTTCAAGCGCACCGAATGCAAGGTCAAGGTGGGCGACAAGATCATCGCCACGGCTAGCACCGACTCGACCGGCAAGGTCTACGTCCTGAATGGGCATCAGATGGCACCCGAAGTGGCCAACACTGCAACTTCAACAAATCAGTCCACCCTGTGGCACCAACGAGTGGGACACCTGCCTATTGCAGCGCTACAGAAGTGCGCTGAGGCTGACCTCGGGCTACCAAAGGATCTGACCACCGCCACGACGAAATGTGATCCGTGTACGACGTCCAAGATCCACAAGACCACGGCCCCCAAGATGGCCAACCACAAGTACAAGCCAGGGGAGTGCTGGGTATCGGACACCAAGGGTCCACTACGAACAGAATCGGTAGGCGGTTGCAAGTTCTACACCGTATACATTGACGCAGCCACCGGCTACAAGATCGTATACTTCGTCAAGTCAACAGACTCAGACAACCAAGAGACCAACTTCAAGGCCGTCTTGGCCTGGTCCGAGCGTCAAACCGGCCAACGCGTCAAGCAACTGCGCTCTGACGGCGGTCCAGAGTACTCCTCCAACGAGTTTAAGGAATGGACCATCAAGAATGGGATTCGCCACGAGAAGTCAGCTCCTGACAACCAATGGCAGAATGGGCTGGCAGAGCGTGCACACCGATCACTCATGGAAATGGCACTGTCAATGCTGACACATGCCAACATGGCGCGCAGATGGTGGGCAGAGGCGGTACGAACAGCCGCGTTTATCCAGAACCGGGTGTTACACACCAATACCGGCACCAAAACACCACTGGAGCTCCTCACCGGCAGGAAGCCGACGCTGGCCAACATGACGGTGTTCGGTTGCGTGGCATACAACATGGTCAAGGACCCGACCAAGCGCGACAAGTTGGCCCCCAAGGCCACCAAGTGCGTCATGATGGGGTACTGTGAAGACATGAAGGCCTACAAACTCTACGACCTGGAAAAACAGAAGGTACCACCGGTATACACGTATCATTCTCAGAGTATGAGTTCGTCAACAGCCCACGCAATATCGACCATCAGCTGCTGATCGAGGACGATGAAGATGAAGAAGTGAAGAATTCACCGGTTCTGCCAGCAACGCGAGCTCCGCTAACCTCGCCAGCACAGCGAACCCCGATAACACTAAGGCCACGAGTCCAGGCATCACCCACGTACAACGACTCATCCACCCACACGCCACAGCTCCGAATGCTCAAGGCGCGCATCGAGCAGGTGGGAGACGCAATGTCCAGTGCCCGCAAGCAAGAAGTCTGGGAGAAGCTATCCAGAGGGTACCAAGACGGTGACTCCTCGTCAGGGACACCGCAGAGCCAGCCAGCCGTCACACAGTCAAATCACTACCAGCCTCGAGTTACAGCCAGCGCCCCAGCCAAGAGCCACTTCCGCGCCGACCGCCCCGTCCGCGCAACCAGGGCCCCAGGCCGGGACCCAAACGAAGGCTACGACTTCAGTGGCCACACCAACGACGAGTCTACTATGACGCTGGACGGCGTCGAGTACGCATGGAGCGCTGTCCATCCAACAGGGGAGGTGCCCAACTCACACAAGGAGGCCATGGCCTCGCCGGAACGAGCAGAATGGGTAAAGGCCGAGAAGGCCGAGTTGGAACAGCTCCAGGCAATGAAGACCTGGACCCTTACTGAGATGCCAACCGGAAGAAAAGCCATCGGCTCACGGTGGACCTACGCCAAGAAGACCGACGCGGAGGGCAAGGTGGTACGATACAAGGCAAGACTCGTATGCAAGGGTTACTCCCAGGTGGAAGGCGTTGACTACGACGCCACTTTCTCCCCAGTGGTACGCGTGTCCACGATCCGTATCGTTCTGGCTCTCATCGCGTACCTCGAACTGGTTGCCGAACAAGGCGACGCCGACAATGCCTTCGTCCAAGCAAGCATGCCACAAGATACGAAGATCTACGTCAAGCAACCCGACGGCTACGAAGACGACACCGAACGGGCAATGCTGCTGCACCAAGCCCTGTACGGGTTGAAGCAGGCAGCACTGCGTGGTACGACCACTGCCGCAAGATCATGATCAAGCTGGGCTTCAAGCCATCTGATCACGACCCCTGTCTTTACACCGGCGGTACAGGCGATAATCTGGAGATCGTGTGCACTTACGTGGACGATTTCATCGTGGCAGCCAAGACTCAACACCAGGTGGATGATATCTTCGAAGGGCTCCTAGCCAACATGAAGCTCAAGAGACAAGGGGAGCTGCACCACATCCTCGGCATCAAGATCGTACGCGACAGAGCAACACGAGCCATTACTGCCTCCCAGCCGGCATACGCACGCAAAGTTCTAACGAGGTTCAATATGTCCAACTCGAGCGGCAAGGCTACCCCCGAATCGACAGACTACGGCCAATGGGACGACGACAAGGCTCTCACAGCGGACCAAGAAGAGTACCGTTCGATTGTGGGAAGCCTCATGTACCTGATGACGTGCACCAGACCGGACATCGGCCACGCAGTCCAACGCCTCAGCCGGCACCTCCATGACCCACGCGAACCCCACATGATGGGTGCCAAGCGCGTGTTACGCTACATCAAGGCAACTCAAGACATTGGGATTACGTACAAGGCTTATGGCACTAACGACAAGCCCACCCTATGCGGCTACGGCGATGCTAGCTGGGCTAACAGACCCGACCGCAAGTCAACCACAGGTTGTGTTTGGCTCCTGCTCGGTGGTCCAGTGTCCTGGAAGTCAAGCCGCCAGAAGATCGTGGCCCTCTCGACCTGCGAAGCGGAGTACGTAGCAGCAGCTGACGCAGCCAAGGAGATGATTTGGATCCGCGGGATCCTACAAGACTTGGGTCAGGCCCAAGGGACAACGACACTCAACTGCGACAACAAGGCAGCCATCGTGACGGCACAGACTGCGTCAACGAGTGAACGCTCTAAGCACATTGCAGTGCGACACTACTTCATCCGCGCTCTCATCGAAGACAAGACAATGGAAATGCAACACTGCGGGACAGCGGACATGTGGGCCGACATCCTGACCAAGATCTCAACCAAATTCGCGATGGAGAAGTTCATCGGCGACGTCATGAGCAAAACAAACCCAGCCGAATCGACCTAGGGGAGTGTTGAAGTACGGCGACCCCGGCGGTTACACTTGCCACTCACTCTACATTCTAGATATCAACAGACCAAAGTAGTTACAACAGACTATAGTGCTCATTAGGATAGCATAGTTAACACTACATCAATCACTTCAGAATTAACTCGGTTACTCCACAACACCTTCCTCAAACACCCGTCAATTCATGCAGTAGTTGCACCAATTGCTACTACAGTATGCGCCATCGCAGTCTTGTTTGAAGAGAAATGTGCCACGTAGCTGCGTTTACATGGTATTGCAATGCTTAGACTGTCAGATGTCGTCATGGTAAAGATTTGTGACTGGTTGGAGCAACTCTCACCTTCAATACTGTATCTAAACAACGCAATGTAAGTTTATGGTGCCGAGTGCTCAACTTCCAATAACGTTACATATTGTGCACTAGACCATTATGCGCGTATCCATAACAATGTTGCTTGGTCGTCATACACAAATACAAGGGACCAATTTGTGAGTGATTGGTTGGAATTAACAAGCGCCATTGCACTGAGCAATGACATGCCCTGGGTCGTTGATCGCTTGCTGCATTTGTTGGGCCGAGCCAATCGTAGATACATCGACGTCCGAACCCAAGAGCTTGGCAAACGCTTGAGGGGACAGCTCCTGGTAGCTCTGGCCGCCAGTGGTGCGCCACGCATACGTCGCTGTGACGGAGTGACCGTTGTACGTGAAGGTAGCAGTCTTGCCGCAGTCCGCAGGGATATTTTCACCGCCGATGTACAATCCTCGGTTCAATGTGTCCTTGCTTAAGCTCGCGTCGCAGTCCGTGGTGGACGACGCAAACCAGTTCCAGCTCACTTTGTTCGACACTCCAGGCGACGACGGCGACGGGGGTGACGTGGCGTACATGATGGGTTTAGCGCTGGGAACTTGGGTGGTAGTAGGCTTATAGCTGGGGGGATGAGTGTCGGGCTTGGTACCAGGAGAGGTAGTAATGGGGGTGGTGGTGCTCGGCAACACCGCATTGGCGCCGCACCAGTTGAACGCGGGATTTTGCGCGCATTGAGCCGCCGACCACCCAATGAAGCACGCGTTCGAGCCAGGGTAGTAGCAGTTGGTGCATGTGCCACAGACAGGGGCAGACGAAGCAGCCGGTCCGCACCAGTTGTACTCAGCAACTCGTGCACATTGAGCGGCTGACCACCCGATGAAACACGCATTCGTGTCGGGATAGTAGCAGTTGTTGCAAGTGCCACAAGAACCCTGCGATGTGGATTGGGAGTGGGTAGATATGGGGGGGATGCTAGTAGAAGAGCTCGGCATCGGGGCAGCAGTCGGTTTGGATGAGCTAGGTGCTAAATCGTAGGTGGGGTTGGTTGAGAAGCTAGGTGCAGGACCTGAGGAAGGTTTGGAAGGGCTAGGTGCAGGAACCGTACCGCACGTTTTGCTAATGTACACGTCGGCGCAGTTCCAAAACTGTTCTTGGCCGTCGATGCCCACATCCGCGTTGTTCCACCCGACATAGTGCCATCGAAGAACACAGTGAGCGTCACCTTCACAAGTCACTCCAGCGGGGAGCACCGACTGGATCGTAAACACTTCGTTGCCTGGGGGTACTTGCCATTGCGTTTCACCATTAGGCTGGGCAAGCGTTTGAAAACACTCGTTGGTTTCTTTGTCGTGTTTCATGTCCAGTTTGCACAAACCAAACTCAAAGTACCCCTTGTGGTTGGCCGTCAATTGGACTTGGAGGTCCACGGTGGACCCCGGGGCGTAGCAGGCCCCGATGGCTTTGGCGCCGTTGGTGGGGAACGTCCCATAGGTGCCTCCAGTTTCGTGCTGCCGGACCCCGGTGTACGAATCGCCGCACACGCCGAATTTGCCACCAGACGTTGCCGCAATACCACCGGCGTTGAGACCGTGGTCACCATAGTCGGGCGGAACGATCCCAGCGAATTGGGCCAACTTGCCAATGTAGCCACGATGCGGAGGGGCAATCAACCGGCCGTGGGCATGTGCGTAGTTGGAGATGGCGGCCAGACCCAGCGCATATGCCGATAGGAAGGTGGCGATCGTCATGATGTTGGCGAATTGAGTTCTGGCAACTTTGGTTGCTTCGATCCGTTTCACATGACAACAACACACCATACGAACAACCCCGATCTTTGGGCGTGTGCATCGGTGGGTTGTGAGAAATAGTACAGTAGGTGTAACCTTACCTTCAAATGGGCTTGGCTTGTAACATCCGATGAGATTGCGCTGCTTGATATTTTAGTTCGGACTCGTCAAATCCTAATTAGATTGGGGGGAGGGGAGGGAAAATAGCTCAGGCGTAGAGCATCGGTTTCTTAACTCAAAGTTCGAGGGTTCGGTCCCCCGTTTCCCCGGATTAATTCCACAAGGATTTATCGTCCCTCGTGGGAAATCCAAGGGCTGCGTACGAAGACGAGAACTGAACTTCGAAGAAGTTCGGTCGAAGCACAAAGCATGAAGCGTTGAGAGAAGTAAAAACAGAAGATTACACACCACACCAGGTCGAGCAGGCGCGTTACAATTGGCGAAGGTTTCATAACATGTGGTTCTAGTATCTGCCCTCGTGGAGGAATGAATGTCTTCAAATTGATAATCCAAACTCAATAATCCTAATTAGATTGGCCAACTCTTGCCAGCAAAGACGGGCCAGTTATATGTACTTAAGTACGTAGGTAGTATTACCTATGTATGTATGTACTGTATGTACACACGTCGAATTAACTGTAAATTTACGCCTTCCGAATCTCGACATCATTACCTACCGTATTTGTCGTTGATCTGCACCATGAAATACAAAACGCGAATATAATTCAATACAATCTCGAATCAATGAAACAATTCGAATATTTAAATAAATTCTTCAAATTTAATTCCAAGGTGCAAATGTACGACAAATACGGTATATACTTCGTACTTACTATACGTATAGTAAGTAGTATGTGTGTAATACATATCAAATTAAATTTACGCCTACCGTACGTACAGTAAAGCAGCCAACGTCCTGTCGGTTGGGTTGCAGCAGTACTGTAAGATCACTATGAGATATTAATACGTAGTACAATGTAATATTTGTTAAGTGCGATAGTCTTTGTTTTTATTTTGGCGAAGGTTACACATTTTGGCGAATGTTTGCTGACTGTGAAATACTCACATATCACCCGGGCCCCAAGGTGTGCATACCATGTGTTCTATTTCGCGACTGAGTTTGTAGTACTAGTAATACTGTAGTATACTAGTTGTAACCAATTGACATTTGCCGCGACACTCCCATGTACTGTGAAACGTAATGGCCGTCTCGCCAATCTCGACAACCTTACTGTGTCACCATTCCAAGCAAGATACATCCCTGGAACAACCACTAAAACGGTTATTCTTGGCCTAAATACCTCTAGCCATTGCTGCTGTTGAACCTGTATTGTGGTACATATTTGCAAAGTAAGCAGTGTTAACGATCATATCTTTTGCAACACACGGTAGATGAACTATGATTTTGCGGCTACTCTTGATCATCTTGCAATTTGACGTGTCCCTATGAAGCCGTGCACCGTTCTTGCCACCGCGCTGGTTCTTTCAGAACTGGCGGTGACATCTGTGGACGCCCACGGTCGGCTGCCGTACACCTACGCGCCGGTCCCGTCAATCAACAGCTGTGACACGCCAGTGGCGGTGTCGTCTGCTGTCCCCACCTCCGTCCCCCAGCCGACGAGGGGTCCGTCCGCAGCGGGAGTCACGAAGCATGTGACGTGGAATTTCTTTACCACCGGCTCCCCCGACTGCTTTGCCTCGTTGACCAAGGACGATTTGAACTCTGGATTGTTTGCCGGCGCCGAAAACATACCCGCCGACTGCGGCAAGACCGCCTCCTTTACGTACAACGGAGTCACCGTCACGGCGAAGTATGCGTGGCGCACGACTGGCGGCCAAGGCTACAACGAGCTGTCCCCCCAAGCCTTTGCCAACCTGCTAGGGGTTCAAGTGAACGTGGCCAACGTCACCAGAGCTGAAGCCCTTCAACTCCCCATCAACGACCCAGGGTATGTCATCGGTCGCTGTGTGGGAACGTGTGGTATCGCTACGTCAGCCCTCACCACATCCACACCTACGTCCACACCTCCCTCTGTCATTCCTGGGATCACCACACCCGCACCTATTGAAGCCCCAACTGGCGCGCCCATTGCTGCGTCAACCGCTGCGCCCGAGACGAGTGCGGTCACACCTGCATCTACCACGACTACACCATTGATTGAGTCCACATTGGCACCCACAACCTCCCGTCCAATCACCCCTTCAGTAACAGCATCGCTGCGACTTGCTACTACAGCTGCACCTACGACTCCCATTCTCTCCACACCTGCCAATGCAGTGCGGGATCAATTGATCAGTCAACACAACAAAATCCGAGGCGCCCACGGCGTTGGCCCCGTGACGTGGGACGATACTTTGGCGCCCAAAATGCAAGCTTGGGCTAACAGCTGCCCTGGGTTTAAACATGGGGGCCCCACCGGTTGGCAAAACTTGGCCACACACACCCCCTGTGGCACCAGCACGACTCGCGCTTGTGACAAGGTGGTGGGGGCGCCGTGGTTGTGGTACGACGAAGAAGAAACGTTCTGGAACTACGGCAGCAACACGTGCAACGGGGACTGGGCCAAGTGCGGCCACTTCTCCAACCTGATCAGCCCAGAAGTCAAGTCGATTGCGTGCGGGTGGTCCCAGTGTGCCAACGGCAATTATGTCTGGTGCAACTACAACACCCCCGTGAAGAACCCCAAGGTGTCCCCCATCCGTGGCATCACCAAGCCCCAATTGCTAGCGAGTTTAGTAGTCTAGATCTATCGTGTTTGAGTCGTCGTCCTACTAAAGGAATACAAGTGGGACGAGCAAATAATTCACACGTGGTTCTTGGTAGTATATCGTTACAAAAATGGTGTGGATACACGTGGAGGATGTGTTTACACGTGGATATATTGAGCAGAGGTACCGATTGTCTAATTAATTCGAGCAGATCAGGTGGAAATGTGATTTCCATGGTGGTGTATGGATGAATAGTACCCTTTTTTACGAACGGTTTGAGCCGTTTCACGAACTCTTTTGTCCGGATATATATAGAAATCATGTGCTGAAAGAGTTCGTAAGTGTTCGTGATTGGTCCTATCAAAGTAGTGTCACGGATATAACCTTGCTTTTTGTATTCTGGACAAGTATTCAAAAAATATCTCCCTTTTACGAACTCTTACGAAATCTTTTATCCGGATGAGAACAATACATGCTGGCGACACTATGGTCCAACTACACATCGACAACGGTGCGACTGTTGCGTTGGACGTCTGTCTTTGGGCGCTCAAGCGGTCGAAGCATTGATCATGTGACAGCGGTCTCAACGATCGAACAGGTGAGGTATGCTTGCTTGTGCGGCGACGCGGGCAAGCTCGGACGACATCGCAGACCCGCTTAACGTTGTTGCCGATGCTGTCATCGAAGGCAGTGCAACATCGAGCTAAATCGTAACAGCCGTAGAGAACGGTGACTCAACTGCGCGTCACCGAAGTCGGCCTGGAGCCGCCGACGTGGCCAAAATGTGATGGACACCGCTGCAGACATCGCTGCCGCTACCACTCTCGACAACTGGCGACTGCATCTCGATCGTGTGCAGCAGCTGCTGCTGACGACATCGTAGACCAAGGTTCGTCACAAAGTGGCACCACCGGCCATCGTGGCTGCCATTGAGTGTGTTCCTTTCACTATAGGAAAACCCTCAATGGCAGCCACGATGGCTGGTGTGTTCCTATCAATATACTAGTAGGAACACACTGCACGACAACGGGCGGGCGATGCGACTGCGGATGCTGGTGTGTCGCTTGCCGACGCTGTTGCTTTTGCGGGTCCACGAGCACTCTGATGAACTCGTACAGTGAGCAGCAATGCATGCTATTAGCTCTTTATAAGCGACTTCAACGCCGCCGCACTGGTGATACAGTACTAATATGCAACTACCACGGCAGCCATTTTAAATGACAAAAAGTGTTTACAACTTACATTAAAGTGTGAAGTACGCAGGTGTTGTAGTACTACAGTGTACAAGTTAAAAGTTAGCTTAGTCGTGGTAGTTGAGTGTGACGTGGCCAGTACGCTATGACGGTGGAATCCGGATACTTGATTTTCTACAGATTGGAACAACTGACCTTGTCAAGCAACGCGTGGCACTCCGAGGAATGCCAAGGTCGGCAATTTGCGATCTCTCACTCCGCAAATCTGAACTCCTGAAACTAAATACAGTATAAATTAATAGAGGAGTTCGTAATAATTCGTAAAGTGTCCAATATAGGTGAATATCACCGTTATCCGACCAAACACTTGACCTTTGTACAGTATGCCTAGTTTTGTCAAATGAAAATCCATTCATTGAGGATCGACCAGTAAAACAGTACAATTCTTGTATTTCTACCAATCCGAATTGATAGGGTTAGGGATGTAGCTCACATTTGTTGGTTTTGTGGAATACCGGTATGTCGGAAGGTAGAACAAAATTTGGATATTCCAATACTGTACTAACGTTAGTAGACGATCAATCCAGAAACCTTGCCGTACCGAATATTGCAAATATACACGCATACTACACCTTTTTGCAGTTAAGTTGGGACGAATGCCCGATGTATTTGGCCGTGCACCCGATACATTTGGTGGTCTGCCCGATATAATTAGCCATGTGCCGGTTTAATTTGGCCCGCCGAGGTCGTGTGCCCGATATACTTGGCGGTGTGCCCGATATAATTACAGTAGCCGTGTGCCCAAGTAATTGGCCATCTGCCGGATGAATTGTGTCGTGTGCCCAATGAAAATAGAATAACTCAAATAATTATATTCCATGGATTGCAAATCAGTTTCGGTGGAAACATCATATGGTTGAAGTTGGGAGGAAAACGCGCGAAGGCCTAGAATTCGAAATTTACTGTATATTTGAGTAAAAGTATAGTTTAAGTACATAATGCGCGCGCTTTCCTCCAGCATTCTGAATGTTTATTTCCGCAAGGATTTATACGTCCCTCCCCTGGGGAATCCGGATAACAAGGGCCGCGTACGAAGACGAGGACCGAACTTCGAAGAAGATCGGTCGAAGCACGAGGTATGAAGCGTTGAGCGAAGTAAAAACCGAAGATTACACACCGCCCCTGGTTGAGCAGGCGCGTTACAATTGGCGAAGCGGTTCCATAACATGTGGTTCTAGTGTCGGCCCTCGCGGAGGAATGTCTTGAAAATGATAATCCAAACTCAATTAATCCAGCATTCTGAATGCTCATTATTCAAATCGCCAAGTTACGTACAGCATGGACGTCATTGCACCCCCGCGAACTCCGGTAATAATGCCAATTGAAGTACTAGATAACCCCCTCGGTAGCCACGAGGCCCCTACAAACGCATACCTCTTTCCGCAAAGCAACGAGTCGTCGCAGCGTTCAGAAACGACGACGACTGGAAATCCGTGGCGTTCGCCAACTGGATAAAGCAAAGTTCTGCTCGAAATTGGCTATATAAAGAGTCACTCACACCCAAACAACGACGTATGCAGACGTCTTGAACTATGCATTATCGTATCTGCTTGTTAGGTGGCTACAAGCCATGTCGGTTGACTTCGGATGTTGTTGACAACATTCAAACTTGGGTTGAGTTTGATTCTCAAATTACGCTTCAAGAGATCAAGGATCGCGTGATGCTTGATTTGGGGATCGAAGTTTCAACGACGACTCTTCACCGCGAACTCGATAAGCGTGTCTACACCTACAAAAAGTAGTGGACGTTTTTGTAGGTGTAGACACGCTTATCGAGTTCGCGGTGAAGAGTCGTCGTTGAAACATTGTAAATGAACGACATCTCGTTCAAGGAAAAACGACAAGCCTACGTCCACGCTTTTCGTGTTTTCGCTGGTCAAGGCAAGATCCCAATTTGGATCGACGAGACAAACTTCAACTTGTTTACATCTCGGATCAAGGCACGAGCCAAGCGTGGGCAACGAGCTGTTGTCGTACGTGGGGGAACTCAAAAAGGAAAGAACCTCCACATCATCGGGGCGATGTCAACAACAAACTTCTTTTACTGCGAACATAAGCGTGGGGCATACCGAAACACTGAAGCCAACGAATGGCTTCAACGAATGCTCCGTGCTGCCAATGCGCACTACGGAAGCCTTGACGACATCATTGTTATTGCTGACAACGCTCCCTGTCACTCGAGGTATTAAGCATCATTCTATTTTAACTGTTTGACTTTGCAATAGAATTGCCAATGTGTTTGATGATAATGAGTTTCTGCGACCACGTTGCTGCGCTGGGGCCCGTACTCTCCAATGTTGAATCCGATCGAGAATTTGTGGTCGTCCATGAAAGCCCAAATCAAGACACTCCTGCGTGAGCGACTAGCAGCGTTCATGGGCCCACCACCGGATGGTTTGACTCGAGATGAATTCCGAATTCAATATCTCGAGCGAATTGCTGAACAGGTTATCGATGGTAACTTTTGCAGCATTATTGCATTGCTTAAAAGTTTGAATAGGGGTCGATGCTAATCGTTTGAATCGATACGAGCTTCGCCTCGAATACTTTTACGCATGCGCGGAGGCATGGGCGACATGGAAGTTGGCATGTGATGCCAAAACGAGGATGTTATGTGTATCATTTCGACTGCATTTTTTAATTGAGTTCAATTTTTAATTTGAGTTATTCTATTTTCATCGGGCACACGACACAATTCATCGGGCAGATGGACAATTACTTGGGCACACGGCTAAATTATATCGGGCACACCGCCAAATATATCGGGCACACGACCTCGGCGGGCCAAATTAAACGGGCACATGGCTAATTATATCGGGCACACCACAGCCAAATACATAGGGCATTCGTCCAACTTAACTGCAAAAGGGAGTAGTAGATGGGATAACTGTAGAACTAATTTACGTAGTAGAATATTCTTGATGTGTTCCTTGTCCTTTCTGCGGATTAATTGGTTAGCCAATCAAATCATGCGGCGAGGTTGTAGCGAGGTAAAGTGAACGGGGCAGAATTGCGAAATTTGAAGGAAATTCACAATCCTCCAAGTAACTTACAGTACTAGTACACTCTGGTATATCAGAATGAGTTTGACCCACCGGTTACACAAACTCACGTGGCTATGTGCCTTAGCGTTGGTCTGGATGCCAGCCCCCCCATAAATTATGCCATAGACCGTTTTGGCAATTCTGCAAAAATTTCCCAAAGTCTCAAATCCCATGAGAAATGGAGAAAAGAAGGTATCTACAAAGATTTCTGGATGCCAGTTGAGTCTTGAAAAGTTATTCGATATCCGATTGAAGTGCAAGACTTCACAGTCAACGTGAACACAAACAAACCTCCATAAAAGAGTTGGACCAAATCGATCTATTTTTTTAATGCATACAACACCCGATTCTCAAGAAATTCGTGGCTTAAAGTTTTGAACTTTGGTGGCATCCGACGCACAAAATCTCGAAACATGGAGTATATATCAATATGGGAAAACGGCCATTTTATGCCATTTTTCGCGGCATCCAGACCCGCCCTTAACGATAAAAATCGGCAAATCACAGATCGCCTGTTCAAGCCCAACTTTGACATTTTATTTGTCTGGATTCAAACGTTTACAATTGATTCGTATTCGAGTAGCGAGATAAAGCTGAAAAAGGTGAGTCGAGCTAATGTGAACTTCACTACATATTGTAAGAGCATCCCCACCGTCTGGTGTAAACATAGAACTGTAAAATCTAGTTTATGGGGTGATAGCTGTAAAATTAGTACATCAGCTCACAGCCATTCCACACCGGTTGGCCAAAATGTAAAAATATATTGGTGCAATTTGGCAGTTTGTTCACAATGATGATGTCGCCAGTGGTCATCAAGGGTCGCTCTGTGGGGGTGCCAAACTTCAAAGAAGCCGAGGATGTCGCTCTCGCGCGTGCGTACGTTCAAGAGTCGACAGTCGCAGCAATCGGGACAGACCAATCTGGCGATACATTCTGGTGCAAGGTTGGCGACGCTTACAACGCGATCAAACCCGACGGCTCGCCGAATCGCTCGGTGTCATCGTTGACCAGCAGATTCAACGGAACACTGGCTAAGGCAACCAACAAATGGGTCGGCTGCATGACGGACGCGCTGCGACAGTATCATAGCGGCTGGCAGTACGCAGACTACATCCAAAACGCCCATGTCGAGTACGCACTTGCAAACAAAGACAAGAGATACGCACATGAATCTGTATACGCCGTTCTGTGTAAGATCCCCAAGTTTGCTATCGACACGGAGCAGATCGAAAGTCGAGTCAACGCTGCGCTTGGGCTTGACGACGTCGAATCTGGTGATGGTTCCGAGGCGCCTGTCATTCATTCTGCGATACGGCCTGATGTCGGCAAAAAGGCCGACAAGAAGCGGAAGCTCAATGCTACTGTAGCATCCGACGGCGATGGCCTTGCGCCCAAGGAATTACAAGCTGTTGAGGAAGCCGTCGCGGCGACCAAGGAGAAGAACGTTTTGCTCAAGGAGAGTCTACTCATCCAGCAGGAAAGCTTGCGGGTTGCTGCACTCAATTCGCGCATTGCGTTTTTTCAGCAATGTCCTGACAGTGAAGCGTCCAAGATGTTTTTTGCCATGCAGTCAAAGCTCTTCCTAGCTGAGATGGAGGAGGAGAATCGCCGCCTTGCTGATGGTAAAGTTGAGATGCATCCAAGCGAGAAGTGATCAGTAAGGGCATGAATTGAATTGCGAGGATTTTATCAACAATATAACCAGTGCAAATATTTTACTAGCAATGAATTATATATATATATATACGACGAGGATGCGCGGATGCGCGGATATAGTGATCTAATATGTATATTTAAATTCACTAGTTATCCAATTCATTTGACCATTTCGCCCAAATGCCTAACATCAGGTCATGCTGGAGCCGTTTATGAACTGTGGTGTTTTTCGTTGCCCGAATCATCTCTCTGCCGACGGTCGGACTGTCCAGCAGTCAGCACAAAGGGGTGTTTGGGGACGTAGTCGACGGCGTGGATGTAGTGGGGACACACACCCGTCTCGCGCTCGAAGTCGATAATCATATTGTGGAGAATAACGCACGCCTTGATGACCGTTCGCATTGCATCGCGATCCCAAAGGCGGCACCCGCTGGTTAGCACGTGGAATCGCGCCTGCAGCACACCAAACGCTCGCTCGATGTCCTTGCGCTTGGCTTCCTGCTTGGACGCGAACAGCTTTTGCATACGCGACGAGGGGTTTGGATAAGTCTTCAGGAAGCAGGCGAACTGGGGGTATATTCCATCGGCAAGCCAGTACGGAAAGTTGTACTCGTGTCCGTTCAACGACCAGATTACACGCGGACTGGTGCCGTTCACTGCATTATGGAACAACGGTGACCGATCTAAGACCTTAATGTCGTTGAGTGCACCTGGTGTACCGAAATTGAAATGCCAAAATCGGCCGCGGTGATCAGCAATCGCCTCAAGAACGACGGTCGCGACGCCTTCTTTGCCCTGAAACATGCCCTTCCAGGAGCTAGGGCAGTTCTTCCACTGCCAATGCATGCAGTCGATAGACCCGATGCAACCCGGAAACCCCGCTTGCACGCCCTCGTCCAACAGACGGTTCAGATCCTCATCGTTTGGAGCTCGCAGCACTGTAACACCGTACACCTGATCCAGAGCAACGCAAAAGCGCTTCAGGGACTCGAGCAAGGTAGATGAACCCAGACGAAACTTATCATCCAACTCTTGCGCCGAGATACCTGACGTCAGCATGCGCATCGCAGCGCAGATCTTTTGGAGTGGTGTGGCGCCCAACTGACCCGCAGCGTCAGGCTTCTGC